GACGAGTCCGTTCGCTGGGGATTCGGGTGCTCTGCACCGGGCTGGAGGTTAAGGGGAGGTTGGAGGCCGGGCAGAAGATGGGAAACATGAAGAACGGATAGAATAAGAAACACCTTTGGGAGAGGATGATGCTGGAGGTTGGAGGCCATGAGCCTGTTTTTTTCATACCGCTGTAGCAAGGAGATCACCAGTTTAGAGTTTATATCCACTCAACAAACATTCATCAACCTCTGCCGCGACCAAACCAATTGGACCAACTCCATCGCCTCATCCACCGTGGCCCGGCGCGCGGCCGCGCGCTCCATCGCCTCATCCACCGTGGCCCGGCGCGCGGCCGCGCGGGGGCCGCGCGGCGGAGGTGATGAATCCCACGGCCGAACCTTTGGATTTCATTTGGCAACCCGAGGCGGGGGACACAGATGACACTGACTGGCAAGATAAAACAAACAGAAACCGCGTGGGGGACTGCTGACAGGTTGGAACAGAGCAGGATTGGGAAAAGCGGGTCTTTGTTGAATCTGGGTTGAAATGTTTGTTTTTGTCTTAAACTTTGACTTTTGTTTGTACTTCAGGACTTCAGAACTGCAAAACCTGTTCATGAGTTTCCCACCTTTCCAAGCTGGATGCCACAGATGGGGTCTAGGACAGCTTAAGTGCTAGCAAGTGAGTTCCACCCAGTGAGTTCGAACCAGTCGACGAAACCACCGCCTTGGCCTCACCGGTCCGGTCGCCGGGTCGACGGGTCGACCACCGAAGCCTTCCCCGTCCGAGGTGCCCATGTTCGGCGCCGATGCCAGTGCGGGTCCCCAATGGCTAAGGAGTCTCGGGTTGATGAGGGTGATTCCCCCAAGACATGTTTCGAGGTGGACCGACATGGACCGAGATGGAGTCGGTTGATGTTTGTATGGATCCACACCCTGGAGGGCCTGAGGGTGGTTGGAGATGTCATTTGCAGGGTCCAATGACTTACCATTATGTAGTTTGGATTCCGATAGAGAGTCAAGTGCCATCAAACCACAGTAATTTGTCCCAAGCAGTTCACCATGTCCACCGGGTGATAGATGAGCTGAACGAGTTGTATATAATCACATGTTATCGTTTATAACTGGTGGAGAAAAACCATAGTTGAAGCATCTGCTCAGTCGCCACTGCTCCAGCCACTCAATGTCTTGAACCCGTGAACCGCTGCAGCGAGCTGGCAGTGAACCGCTGCTGTGAACCCCTTCTCACCGCATTTCGGACGTTGTTGTGCGCATTTATATAGTTTGCCGCACCCTGAGCATCCGAACATATAGGTTTAAGAATCAACATGCCAATGAAATGGTCCAACCTGGGCTCTCAGTAGCTCAAGGTAGACTAAGATATTGGATGATATTGGGGGTACAGAGTTTGAGTGTTGTTGTTTTCCACATCAATTGCAACAACATTGAAACTTGTCTTGCGCATGTCTACAAATGGTCGTCTCAGTTGCTGTCCCCTCGTTCGAGGCGACGACGAGTGCTTCAAGTGCCTAACGAAGCGGGGCACCATCCTGCCCAACAAGAAGCTGCGGCCTCAGAGGAGAGGTGAAACCTGCGAGGATGGCCCTCATAATGAAGGAGAGGACGGGGCGCATAAAGCGCGTTGTGGCCATGTCAAACATGTGGAGATTCAACACATCCCATGGTTCTTGATGACCACAATAATGTAGACTCTTGATTAATAACCACCCCCATAGGAAGGCTTTTCAAGGATGGTGTAGAAGCGCCTCCAGACTTGCAAGTGAGTGAGTGCATAGCCTACATTAGGACATCCAAGCAATTCTAATGCATTCCTTAAATCCTTTGGTTGTCACTGCTTGGACAAGTTCCCCCAGAAGCTGCTTGTCAACGCTCATTTGCACGGCCCAGCGACCTTGGTCGCACGAGGTTTGAGATGAGCTTTGAGTTTTGCCCGCAAAGTAGTCAGACCAAGGACGTCTGTCGTTCGCTCGGGTTCCTTTCGGTCATGTTGTGGCTGAGTGGTGCCATGTGAGCTATGCTGAGCTATAATGATGCGAGTGACTGGTCACACTTTGCGTAATGTTGTGAATGGTGGTGGTGGGTCCTACCTTTATATATACAGTAACTTTATCATCCTTTATCCATTGGTTCATAGTGTGAGCTTGTGCTCGCCACATTCCAAGCTCGTCACATCCGATTCAGCTTCTGTCCCTTTTTTTGGTCCGATTCAGCAGTCCCATCACCGTCCGCAGGTTCAACACAGCCGGACACGGCGAAAGAAACAGACGTGCCGACGACGACCCGCCACGAAGACCCTCGTGGACATCCGGAGGGCACTCTTTTTGTTGAACTGTTGCGATCGCCGATTCGCCCCATGTTGATGCTTTCTGTACGTGATTTCGGAGTTCTTGGATCTGTCAGCATGAATGGATGGCGGCCACACCTGGATAAGAGTCACCACCTCCGGCAGGATACCAAGCATGGCAGCATGACCCTAAATGGCCATGAACTACCGGAACTACCCGTCGCAACCCTAAATGGCCAGGAATCGCTTCCTGTCCATCGACCCGACTCGACGGCCATGAACTACCGCGGCGTCGCAGGAATCCTTCTGGTCCTTCGTCCTCTTGGGGCCGAAAGTCGAAGAGCGCTTCCTCGTGGCAGGCGCACAGATGGCACGCTTCACTAAGCTGCGCTGCAGATGGCCCTGCAGCAGATGGGCGTGTTGGTTGGTTGTTGTGCCTTGTGCTCTCGGTGGTGAGGTGGTGAGGTGGAATGGTTTCGGTGGGTCGTTGTATGAAATAAGACCTGTTGAGGGTCGCTCACTTGATAAGTGTCACTGTTCGTCCACCCATACGTCCCCAAGTGCCAGGTGGCCCACACTTGGTGGTCGCTTTCAGGGACCACTTCCCGTGTGGCCTCAAGAGTCTTTGAAGAGGCAGAATGGACCAATGGACCATGGAGTTCTTCATTTCAAGTTCGTTCCGTAGGAGGTACGACGCGAGTCGCTAAATGGATGTGGAAAAAAAACACCGTTTAGTGCAGGAAAATGGTCAACCCATGACTGTTTCAAGGAGTGTATCCGGGACACATCCCTTGTGCTGCTGGTGAAAAATGACATCGCCCGTCAGCAGACTCACCCCTTCTGTTGCCCTGGATTGCGGGGTAGATCCTGTAGATTCAGAATGCAACTTTACCGGTAACTTTACCACTTTAAGACCTTTAAGAATCCAGCTCTAACCGGGGTAGCGGGCTTCCAAATGGGAGCGAAGAGTTCTGATTCAGGAACGTGTCCGGCGGGGTTCTTTAGGGCTTTGGAGTTTCTTCCCAACGCTGAGGGCTTGAGGATGCTTGCCACAGCCTCCCACTTCATCATGACTGATCTCTTCCACCTTCTAAAAGCACAATTCTTCCCCTAACAAGGTAAATTGCCTCTGGTATCCTCTGGTTGCGTTCTTTATTTAGTTTGTTTATGAAAGAGGATGCTCGGATGCCCCCAAAATAAAGGCTCAGACAGAAGCACCACTGAAGAGCAACGGCCCAAGCGAGAGAGAATAAAAGGCGAGGCAAGTGGTATTTGTGAGTCACTTTCCAACATCACTCTGTAAAATATGATAAAATATGCATCTACTGAGACTCATCATCTCAGCCCCATCGTATGCAAAAAACTCACCCGTTTCTTCACCAAACTACTCCCTTTTTCCTCCCATACCGGGGCTTCCAAAGTGGATGTTGGGAGAATAGTTGTTGCGCTCGTTCTCGCAGGCACCGTGCAAGAGCCCCGCATCGGCATGGACAAGCCGGGATCCCACCCAGAGGGTCCAATGGACTGGTGCTTGTTTTTTGTGGTGGTTGTTTAAGTGAAAAGCAGGGAGGGTGTAGGTTCATGTTGTGTTTCTTTCTATGGACATGAGAATGAGGGTGAAGGGTTGGTTTTCATTGTTTACGGGTTTTGTGCCTTTGTGTGTGTGATGAGTTTTACAGGTTTTCGAGCTCACTGAGGTTTCCATATGTTCAATGTGGTGAAAAGGAGAACGTTGGTGAGTGGTGAGCAGATGCCTCAACAAACTGGGTCTCCATTTTGCAAGGTGTGTTATCCAGTTACAGTATATATCCATCCATTTGACATGATTCGAGGTGTCTGTTGCGATCAATACGCTCCTTTCCCGGCCTGAAACATGCTAGTTTGCCCAATCTGTGGCTTCACTTGTGTGCCAAAGGGGACTGGTTTAGACGGTTTGGAGATTTCAGAGGATTTCAGCCATTTCCCATCATTGAAGGTGGTGAACAAATCCTTGAACCTTGGCGGTGAAGATCCCAGTGTGAAATCGATCCAGTGGGAAGAGCTAGCAGCTAGAGTCAAATGAGTCAAATGATTAAGGTACCCAAAATAGATGAAATGGTGTCTACACTGTCTACACATTTGCAAAGGGGATTCACAATTTTCAGGTGGTGCAAAGCATCAGGTTCTCCCAGTTTTTGCCCCGGCCGGCCGTTGGTTGGATCGATTGTTGGCGACACGAGCGTGTTGGGGAGCGATCCATGACACCCAACGAGGTCGACAGTGGTGACCGTTTGACCTGTAGGGCGAACCCGAACACTGAAGCAATGCTGTGTTTGTGTGTGTGATCAGCAGATAAAGGATGGATGATCACTTTCTATGATAACTTTCTACGATCTCAGGAAAGCCAACCCGGCCAACCCAAAGTAGAGGACCTCAGATGTGGGGCAGCCTGTCAAACACGGATTGCTTCACATGAAATAACAACACATCAACACAGTATGGGGGTCCAGAACCCCCAGGCAAGGTTTCCCAAAGCATCGATGAAACAATGAACTGCCCAGATTCCTACACACCCCCTGACAGGTTACCAACGAAATAAAGATGGTCTTGGTAATTGGTAGATTTGGACCAATAACATTAATTGTGTGTGATTTGTTTTCACAGAAAGGTGTGTGTTCATCATCGAGAAACAATCTGGAGTATGAGTACGCCATGCCGTTGCAGACTTCTGACTACTACTTGTTTTCAGCCCAAACGGCTCCAAGAACTAAAAGGGTTTGCTGCCTTCGCTATGGCACAGCGAGCGGCGTGGGTGCCAGACGAGGAGGTCAGTGAGTGTCCTTTGTGCACTCAACAGTGTCCTGGCATCTGAACAGTCACTCAGTGCCCTGCCCCCGATGGGAAGCCAAACGGGGAAGCCTGCCCCGGATGTTCAACTCTGGGACGTGTGTTACACCCGTCAGCGGTCCGGCCGATCTGGGAGGGTGGACCGCGAATCTCCAGAAAAGCCACGGCACCGGGGCGGCGGCGGAATACGATGACCGCCTCGGGCATAGGCATACCAGGCTTCCCGAACGAGCTACCAGGCCCCGAACAGGTCACCACGACTGTGACGTTGAAAAAGACCAGCAGAGCCAGGTGCGCCACAAGTCATCCAAGAAGGTATTGGAAGCCAATGATTCAGAGGGTCTAGCATGTTGTGGTTGGCTACAATTATATATATATACCACAGTTGTACACAAATGTTTAACCACCTTGTGGCTCTTTCCTGTGGTTCCGAAGGGTCTGCGCCATCGAGAGTCGCCTGGAGTCGAAAATGTTTGGGTCTTCCTTGCTGGGACGGCTGAGGGCGGATGGATTTTCTCGTTCCAAATGCTTTCTTTCATGACGCTTAATGCCATGACAAGTCCATGACTGGTGGCTGGACCCTCTCGATGGGACGTTACTGTAGGTCGACGGCTGCGCTGTTTTTGATGCTCGCTGGATGGTCACCTCCGGTCAACGAACATAACATATACGCTGCATCCATCTTGCGGGAAGCACTCGAACCATGCTTGGTTTGATTTCGGAACCTGTGCCGCACCCCATGTGATTGAGGATGTTGGACAACCATGGCCAGTGAGGGGAGACACACGTCTTCGTTTTGCCGAGGTTTTCCCGAGCCAAGAGGAAGCATCACTGAGACTTGGCTTGGACGGGCTGAAGAAGGTGAAGCGAAACCCCGCCAGACAGCCAGACGGAGCGTTTCTGTGGTCATGGTGCTGCGTTTTGGGGAGCCATTTAGCATGGATACTGTCTAGGCAGGAGCCCATTTGCACTCACCCAAAAAATGGACTTCAGACATCGCGCGGTGCTGATGAGTCTGATAGGATTGAAATCAAGGGAGTCTTTACATCACCTGGGACGTGCCCGACGGCTTTTCTGTCTCAGCTGCTTGGAACGGCGGTCGATCTCGCAAGAAAGGTGCGATCGGTGCATGAATGGGGGATTGATACGTTGATGAACAAATTTTCCAGAATTTAATGGGTTCATCAAGGTCCACAACAAAAAGACAATGGGTGTCGCCTAGAAGTTAGTTGGACCTGCCAAACCTTCCCCGAGCACCTCAGCAGGTAGTTGGAGACCTAGCGTGGTCACTAGGTTCTACCCGATTCTCCAATTCCTGCTTGAACCCACCAACCAATTCGAGCCCAGGCCGGGCTTGTGGCCGTGTGGTGTGTGGCAGCTGTAGTGGCAGCAAGCTCTTCCTCTCCAGCTATGGCAAGGAGTGCAGAGTCATTTTTTAATCAGGTCTTGCCCAGGTTTAAGCTACTGTATGTATATATATATATAACTAGAGTGTAGAGTAGTCCATTGCTGACCACTTGGATTTTCCTCCTGGAGTATGCCATTCTACTGGCTCCCAGATTCTGGCCGGGTATATAGATCCCAAAACGTCAGAAAATGCCATGGTCACAGGAATACGGAAGATAAAATCCAGGATCCTTTTGTTTTTTTTTGCAGGGATACGTCCCAAGGAAAAGATTCTATTGTGCATGTTGTATAATTTTTCCTGGTGAGGATCACCCTGCATATCCCAGAGTACTAGCGCTGAAGTTCTGCTTGAAAGCATCTCTCCGCAGAAAGAAGACCAGTCCTCCCACCCATTCACGTTTGACCATCCTCAACCTTCCACACCAGTTCGAAGGGCGCGCGTGTTTCGGTCTGCGAGGAGGAGCGCGTTTGTGACAGCTGCTTTGACTTGCTGCAGCACGACAAGGGGCGGCCAGTCAACGAGCAATTCGTGGAGCAAAAGCAGATCGAGGCGGAGTCGGGCTGGGCATCAACCTGACGGCTCCAAACTAATTGGCACTATATGTGTTTGTGATCCACTTGTATCGGATTCCTCTTGCAGCATGATGAAGGCAGAAAACTGTTCAAAGCGGCTCACGTTTCACAAGCACAGAACTGGCGGAACTGGCAGCTGTTCTATTTCCTTTGTTTGTTTCCATCGTCTCGGTTTACACGAACTTCTTGGAAACACTTTGCCCCGTCGAACCCGATCAAAGAAATGAGACAAGACCGCCAAACAAGACCCAATGGCATCCGGCTACGCTTCGGATAGGAAACAACCGTGTCCCTTTCTAGGCCAAGAGAAACCATGTCCGCTTCGGCCGACGTGCAGATGGGTCTCTAGAGAAACCAGCACTCGGCTGGGCCGGGGTCCGATGTCACGGCCGGTCGAGCTCTACGTGTTTGAGGGGTGACTGAACCCACGGGGCCTGGTCATCTGGGGTGTCATCGGGTGGCGATGGCAAGTCAAGTCTTGGCGTCGGAAGAGGCTTCCCTCAAGGCGGACTTGAGAGAAAAGCAACAGCAACTTGTAGGGGCAGGGTGGATGCAGAGGCGGACATTGTGGGGGAGATGCGTCAAGAATGGAAGCAAGTTGCGATTACCTTGCGGCCCTGTGGAGTTAGTGTGTTGAAGCAGCAATCTTATATGTATACTGTTTGAGTGCCATCCATGTTTAAATTTTGGTGGAGAAACTGTCAATGAGTATACAGTCAGATTCTGAAAAAGGGGAATCATTGAATCTCTCAGAAATCTCCAGAAATATGTTCAAACAATTGGTCGTGTCAGCAGAATATGTTCATTCACGATTCACGATGTCACTTGCAACATATATATCTTCAAACATACCCACCGCCAATGATTTGAGACTTATAATACAGCACGAAGTCACTAGGCATCGAAGTGGCATCGGTCCCACTCACTCCGGCTGCTCCTCTGTCCGCCAAGGCAAGAAGAGTGGTTCCGAAGCTTTCTAGCCCAGGCGTGCCAGTCGAGGGTCGAGGGTGGGATGGTCACTGGAGGGATCCCCAAACGATTCGACGATGAACAAATGGGTGCCAATGTGGGGCATGTGCTTAAGATATGAAGGCGCAGACCGTTTGAGATTTACTATATACAAGGCGTAGACCAAAGTATTTATACTAATTGATCTCTATAGAGGCCAGGCACTCCTGCCGTAGCGACCTCCTTTCGCGCGCCAGGTGGCTGCTGCGAATGGGAATGCTCACGCTCGCGCCGTCGAGGAGCTGCCACAGCTGATCGCCAACGGCCAGCGGCGTTGGCGGGAGACCTGTCAGCAGCTCCAAAAGGCACGGACGAGACCGGAGATGGAAAGTCCATTGGATTTAGTTTTCGGAACTGAGACAACCAAAGAGAGCTGGACGGACGGAAGTTCTGCACCATTCTGCACCTGTGTTCTCTGTTCAGTGCCCGGGAGGGGCAAAGGCACCCCTCTCAAGGCTAGGCTTGTTCAGATGTTTGTTCAGATGTCTCAAGGGTCAGTCAATACTCCAGTCCCATGCATTTCTTCGGGTCCCGGTCCGGGTCCACGCCGACCCCCCACCGAACCCGCCCCCTGGGACCTGATCCGGGAACAGCCGCGGACCGAGGTGTTGTGGTTCGGATGAGAGCGTCTAGACATGTGGATGAGGCATACTTTTGGGGGCTTGGGATTCCTTTCGTCATTTTGTATACATGGTTTTGCGGTCAATTCCTTCCGGTACATGTAATCCTTCCTGTTGGAAGGGCTTGGGGCGCGACAGACAGTCCGCAAGTTATCTTTGGGAGTTGGGATTCCTTTGGTTTGATGGCACTTGTGGGCCAGGATGGAGAAGAGCTGGAGCAGTTGCAGGAGAAGGGCAATCAGTTGGAGCTGCAGGGGCGTCTTTGGGCCGAAAGAAGGGGTAGGGACCGTGGTCTTAAGGCTGTGCGTTCTCGAAATCAAAGAAACAAGAGATCTTCCAAACGGGTTGAGATCTGGAGGGGTCTAGAAATGCCACTCCAGTTACAAGATTCGCAGGTGCTTTTCAAGCAGGAACTGCATGACTTTCCAGATATCTCCGGTCTGAGTCTTATGCAAAAAAGGTTCTGCTGTGGTGGTTGTTTGCGTCTCCACCCCACGCAGATTCTCTTCTCTTCGTCCCCAGGTGCTCGGGCGAGCTCCTTGCAAGAGCTGCAGCGGACAGTGCAGCACATGCAGAAGGACCTGAAGGTGAAGCAAAAGCGCTTCGCGTGGCCGGAGAACGGGGGAGGCTTTGGACTTGGAGCGGCGTGAACAGTTTCTTCAAGACACCAATCTCATTGCCATGGAGCGGCGTAGCTTTGCTCAATATGCAGTATCCTCCAATGCTGGATTTGGGATGTTCTATTTTTGAATGAAGCCGCCTCTGTCCGAGGTCATCCAGGTATGCAGGATCCTGATTCGACAGGGCTCAGAAACCACGTCAGCCTCCTTAAAACCAAGATGAACTTCATGAAAAACATGTTTACTCTAAGACCACGATCCTTTGCAAGCCAGTTATGAATATTCGTGCATCTCAGGGCTTCTGGTGTTTGGCCAGTGCATGTTTGTTCGTATTGGTTGGCAGGTGCAGTCACAGACCCTTAATTATCACCACTCCAACTCTATAGCTTTGGATGTGATTTGCGACACTCCAAAGCCAATGTCGTTGGGCGCGTTGGGTTTGAAACGTGGTTTGCTTGGAGGAAGTAGGATGTTGATGCATGTTAACAATGTTTGATGTCTTTGTTGATGCATTTTGTAGGTGTCCAACCCATAGAGGTCCTCTTTGAGAACCTCTTTGGCTTCTGAAATCAGATTCTGCTTGGTGTGGCCTTCCAATGCATCGCAGGAGGGCCCAGCCCTGCAGAGTCAATGCGACGAGCTACAACGAAGTACCATCCTTTTGCAGCAGGACGTCCATTCTTTTCGATACAGTCCACTCCCTGGAACTAACATGGTTACGTGGATGGCATGACCCTGACAGGAAGACCAGGTGGTTTTCCACTACAAACAGGTGGTGCACTCCACGTAACTATGTGAATTCCAGGGAGAGTACGTCTTTGGGATCACTTTTTTCATCCGTTCCGCAAAGCATCCCGGGTGGCCCGGCTGGGCCACATTTTTGCCACGATGAACAAGAAACGTGATGAAGAGCCACTGACTGATACCCGCTTTTGGATGTGTCCTGTTGGCTTGTCCCACCACCCCAAAAGCAGTCCAACAGCAATTTAAGATTGCTTTCTGGATTTCGTGCTCCTCATCAGCCTGTTCTATAGATTGCTTCGTTGCAAAAAGGACTGCGCTGGCGCAGATCCCTGTTCTTGGAGGGCCTTGGATCGTGCCCAGCACATCCGCGGCACTTGGAGACTCCAAACGCCTCCGTTTCATTCCGTTTCGATCGTTTCGTCGCGGCCGATGCCGTTCGGCCTGTCGCAGCCGTTTGGTGTCGTTCGGTGTTCACCGGACGGTCGGAGACACGGTCAGTGGCGTTGGTTCAGAGTCGGCAATCCTGGTTGAGACGAAGATAGAAGTGGTAAAAGCAAAATAAAGAGACACTGAGAATCGCTGCAAGGCACTTGCACTTGCTTTATGGATGCCATTCTTGAGATGCACTGGCAACAAACATTTTGGACCTCCAACACTGCAGTTAGCAAATATCTATCCAGACAATTGATGTAACAGAGGCGGCATATCTTATATTGTACTACTTGAAACACTCCTCTTAGTAAACGCCCCCGCGGCGGGCTCTTTTTCGGCCCTTTTTCGGATGATCATCATATGTCATCGTTGAAGAACTTGATGTAAATCCAAATGGATTTCAAAAATTGGTCATCATTTAACACTCCTTCCCCAATGGCACAATCGTTGTGACATGCCGCGCGGAGGAGCTTTCAGGGCTCCAGCAACGACGTGCGGCCCTCGAGGAAGCAACGGGTCCTAGGGGACGGGGACCGGGGGACCGGGTATTAGTCATTTCGATTTCTCCATTTCGGGGTGGAAAACATATTGAAATATATTGAAATATGACAGGAAGGGAAGTATGTAAACTTTTGCCAAGCCATTGATGTTTCTTTTCGGAGTTTGTTCTCATGCGTTTTGGGGAGCTAAACATGCATGATCATGAAGCATGCATCATGCATGTAAACCCAGGCAGCATTGTGATAGCTGGTAGGATGGTCGTTCTTCTTTCTTACGCAACGTGACATGATTGTCTCTTTCTCGGATCGAAGCCACATCATTCTGAATAAGCCGAGTCAAGAGATCATGCAGTTCTCATGCCATGCCATGTCCATGCTTGATCATGCCATGCCATGTCCATGTCCACATTTCGGAGGCTTCCAGGGTCGCTGAGACTTCCGGTCCCGGGGCGACCCGACTCCGGCGCTCGGAAGGACCTCCAAGAGCGCTCGGAAGGGAGCAGGAGCGGAGAGAGTGAGCGGTGGAGGGAAGGGAGCTGGAGCTTCCGCACCGAGCAGGGTCACGAGGTGCGGGGTGATTTGGTGACCAGCCAACCAATTCACTGCTCCGGAGGGCTGCCCGGAAGCTCTTCTTTGTCTTTTTTGTTTGGAGACGAAGCTGGCTGTTTTTTTGGAGGCCAGAAATAAGTCCGTCAATCAGTCCGGTGCCGGCAGAAATTTGGACGTTGGCTCAGACCCAGAAACCAGCAGATGCTCGTCGACACTTTTGCATGTACTTGGCCGTTGCCCAGGGGGGTGGATGGCATATGGTGGCATTCTCTAGTTTTCAGCCATAGTCATCTAATCCAACACTGCGTGTTTTGGAGGTGCTGCGATCCACCAAGGGGCCACGAGTTGGTATGGCAGCGAGAGTGTGTGTCCAGAACCCGGAACACAAATTAAGCATTTAACATCCCCGGTCAGTTAGCCTGGCTGAAATGGGGAGGGGTAGGGTACCTGGCTAGGAATTTTATTTAGCCACATTGGGGCCATTTTATTTTCATTTTGGTCCCTGACCTTACTGTAGGCATGAGGTACCATGGAAGGTTGGGTACCTTGGCCAGACCAAAATTTATCCAGGGCCTGGGTGTGCCAGCGTGCAAGCAATAAAGACTAGTTGATGTGTTGGGTACCTACCATTTAATCTAAACCGTGCAAACACTTTTAGCCACATGTCTCTTTGTAGAGCTCAAGGTGCTTGGATAAAATGAAAGGGAAGAAATTACAGTACAAAACGTTACAAACACTCAAGGAGGGAGTGATTTCAGC